TTTTAGATTTTTTATATTTAAAATGAGATGTTTATCCTGTATTTGATTGTGTTTATCTGCAGTTAGTTACAAGAATTCAGATATGGGATGAAATCGGATAGGGATGAACGGGTTTAAGAGTTTTTAAGAGTTTAAGAGTTTAAGAGTTTTTAAGAGTTTTAGCCAAATGCTTTATAATATAGTATAGATTATTCTAATATTACATATTGGTCCCTATAATTTTTGGAGGGACTTAAGTGCAAATACAGCCGAGTTAATTTGATGGAGAATTACACCCCTTGGATTACATATAAATATTGGTGGTTAAATGATTAGTTTTCCACGTTACCTTTTAATTTCCCACAAGAATGTAAGCATGATTCTATCATCTTAAGAAGGAACAAAAACATACCAAAATCGATTCATCAGATTACGGGAACGAAGAGAAACAATCAAGGGAATCAAAATGGTTTCGCTATGGCATCTACAAGTGGTACAAAGACAAACGCTACATCAAGTAAGTTTTATGAATATTGTGTTTCTAGAAGTTCATACGTATTTTAGGGATTGCGATACATACATACATATATATATATATATAGAGAGAGAGAGAGAGAGAGGAGCGATCAAATACAAACCACTCAATTTGTACAAACCACCCTCATCCGTCAATTTCATTGTTTAATCTTATAAAAAAAATCATGAAATTGTATAATCTTGTGAAATTATTTCATATTTTTTTTAATATATGGTTATAAAATTGTTTCATATAATACTTAATGAAATTTTATTGAAATTGTTTCATGTATTTCTCTAAAATTAAAATAATGAAGATGATAATATCCATGATTAACACCTTCTACAATAAAAATGATTAATCAATCTATCATAATTACAAAAAAAGAACAAAATGAAAAAAATTGATTGGTCGAGGTTTGCTCGGTTTGTACAAATTGAATGGTTTGCATTTGATCGCTCCTCTCTCTCTCTCTCTCTCTCTCTCTCTCTCTATATATATATATATATATATTGGGATCAATTAACATTTGGTAGTCAAAGATTTTCCAGCCTAGTGGTAAAGGCTTGGGTATGACATAGTTATGAACCCGAGTTTGAGTCCTGGGAGGGGAGTGTTGGCGACATTTAAGTGGGGCCATGTTTAGCCTCCAAATTTGCCGGGGATTAGTCGGGCTTTGGCCCCGACACCCTTACAAAAAATATTAACATTTGGTATCAGAGTCATGTTTATGATATATGTATAATTTGCTCTAATTGCGATGAACCCTAGCTTTTTAATCAATTTTTTGATGATGTAATATTGTTAAATATTACTATGAATCCCATGAAAAGGAATACAAAATGGAAGTTTGATGCCATTAATGATTAAAGAATTTAAGGGGCCGTTTATTAAACATTTACTCGGTAAGTGTTTACCGGTAAAATTCAATACTATTATTTACTTAACGGGTAAGATTTTTGTCTACCAAAACGACTTCCGGTAAGCATTTACCGTGGTAAGAGTCGTCGCCCTCACTTACCGGGTAAGACTCTTGGTCATTTTCTCACTCTTATCGGGTAAGATTCTTGGTCCTTACCATATTTATCCGGTGAGATAATGCTACTTGATAAACACTTACCTGGATAAACGTTTGGTAAACGACCCTTTAAGTAGCCTTAGAAATCTTGAAATTTGGAACAACAAACAGTATGTGAAGGAAGACGATGGATTACCAATTTTGGTTTATGAGAAATTCCATATTTGTATTATATGCTTATTCTAATTCTTCTTCCATGCCCTTATGAATTCCTAATTTGATTTATATGCTTATTGGTTTATGAAATTTGAATTCATGTTTCATAATTGATTGAAAATCCCTTTTGTCATCATATTTACATAGTACCGTTGGACAAACAAGTTTACATCGCATAAAAAATTTGATCGTTTCTCATTCCAACACTCATGACGATGCATAATAATGGTGATATTTGTGGTATGATTTGTGCTTAAAATTGTCTTTGCTAATCAAGATTAAAGGGTCGTTTACTAAACGCTTACCCGGTAAGTACTTACAGGGTAATTTTCCTCATCGGATGAACATGGTAAGGGCCAAGAATCTTACCCGGTAAGAGCAATGATAAGGATGGAGAATCTTACTCGGTAAGTGAGGGTGATGACTTTTACCCGGGTAAGCGCTTACCAGGTAAATTGTTGTATATGATACGTTTTGATGTACTACAATCTTACCCAATAAAATAAATTATAGTGTTGACTCCTAACGTTAAGCACTTACCGGGTAAGCATTTAGGTAAACGGCCCCTAAATTTTATCTTGGATAATGGAACCAACAAGAAATTGTCCAAGATAAATGAAATAAATATATAATACATTGTTTACATTGAGATTTAGGGGACCTTACGGAAACCTATTTGTTGATTTAAATAATGGTATTTTCAGCATAAGTTATATTGTTTGCCCAAACGGTACTATGTGAAAGATATGCATGCGTAGTTTAACATAAGACATTAAACTTAATTACTGATTGATCCAACGAGCTATTGGTAGTTGAGTATGATGCTTCTATTGCCTATATTTTGTAAGTTTTAATAGGCTTAGTTCTAATTTCATTGATATGCTTACTACCTTGTATTTTGAATCAGGTTTTGAAGTATCATCTTATAAATGTGAGCATGCATTTAATTGTACTATTATGATTCGTCTGGAATTGAACCCTTAAATGGTACAAACTTCAACATTTGAAGAGATTGAGTGAAATTAACTCTTGGAGTTATGGATCTTGATCATGCTTTGAGACTAGAACGACCTGTTGCCCTCGCCGACAAAAGTTTGCCGGATGAAAGGAGGGCATATGAATTATGGGATCGGTCAAATAGTTCCATTTTTGTTGCCATCCGAGGAGCCATCCCTGACTCCGAAGATGCCAAGACATACCTTAACTCCGTAGAGGATCAATTTAAAGGGACTTCAAAGGCCCATGCAAGTATCTTGATCCTCAAAATGTTGACTACTAAGTACAATAAGGTCGGTGGTGTGCGTGAGCACATAATGATGATGACTGACATGGCAAACAAACTCAAAAGTATGAACATGGAAATTAGTGAGAGTTTTCTCGTTCACTTCATAATAACATCTCTCCCTTCTCAATTTTGTCCGTTTAAGATCAATTATAACACTCAAAGGAAGAAATGGAAGATGAATGAACTAATTGCCATGTATGTCCAAGAAGAAGAACGACTAAAAGTCGAAAAGTCGGATGTCACTCATCTTACTACCACCGACTCTAAGAAAAGGAAAGGGTTCTCAAAGGGCAAAGGAAAGACGAGAGATAAACTTATTCCGAACAAGATCCCTAACACCAGTGCAAGTACAGGTACATTCCAAGAAATTCCTAAATGTAAATTCTGTCATAACAAAGGACATACTCAAAGGGATTGTCCAAAATCCAAGGGATGGCTTGCAAAGAAAGGTAACACCTCTAATTTCATGATTTGTGAATCACCTAATATTTATGTACCCTCTAATACATGGTGGATTGATTCTTGTTCCATAGTACACATTTGAAATTCTTTACATGGTTTCCATACAATAAGGAAGCTGGAAAAAAACCAATGGACGGTTAAAGTCGAAAATGGCTTGGATTTGGGAGTTGAAGCAGTCGGTACACTTTCATTAGTATTGGAAGGTGGTTCGACATTAAATTTGTGTGAAACTCTATATGTACCAAGTATAACTAGAAACCTTATTTTCGTTTCTAAGTTAAACGGCTATGGATACACTTTTATATTTGGTGATGGTAAATGTATAATAAAGTTGTATTCACATGTTATTGGTTATGGTTGTCTAGAGGGAAACCTCTATATAATGTGTTTAGATAACTATTTTTTCCTATTATCGTTAAATATTTGTGATAATGTACATAAGAATAAGAGAAAGCGAGATTTGGAAACTTCATCAATATTATGACATAAAAAGTTGGGTCATATCTCACGAGAAAGAATGACAAGACTTGTGAAAGATGAAGTTTTGCCAAACCTTAATTTCTAAGATTTTGAAAAATGTATTGAATGCATTAAGGGTAAAGCAACCAAAGGGAATAAGAAAGAATCCACTAGAAGTATGGAAATACTTGATCTAGTCCATACTGATATTTGTGGTCTTTTTCCAACACGAATTGGAGGTCAAAAATCGTTTATCACTTTCATTATGAGTTCATCCACTAGAAGATGGACCTTCGCTCAGGATATCACCAAGTGAAAATGAGAAATGATGTTGTTCTAAAAAACAACTTTCGGATGCTCTATGGTCATTATGAGTTCTTAGTAAGGACATTCGGTTTCACGAATACGTCGACGGTGTTTATAGTTTTGATGAACTGGGTGTGTCGAATCTTCCTTGATAAATTTGTGTTCGTATTGATTGACGAAATCCTGGTTTACTGCAAGAATGAGTTAGATCATGAATAACACCTTCGAGAAGTCCTAGAAGCATTGGGGCAAGAGAAATTGTATGCGAAGTTCTTCAAGTGCGACTTTTGGTTAGAAGAAGTCCAAATTTTTGAGTCATGTTATCATCAAAGATGGAGTGAAGGTCCCTCCAAGATCGAGATGATGAAATGGGAATCACCCAATAGTCCGTCTGAAATTTGAAGTTTTTTGGGTCCGGCGGGTTACTATTGCAGGTTCATTCAAGATTTTTCCAAGATTGTCTCACCCTTAACCAGGGCCTTCCCTGGGGTGTGACCACAGTGTCGTACCACCGGGCCTCCGATTGGTAAATGCTTTTATCTTAAATCTCATTGAGTCGGGTTCGATTCTTCTTGGTGGCATTTTTTAAATTGGATATGGTTTTTGTTGGAGATAGAAATTCCATTTAATTAAGTGTCATTTAATTGTTTAGTAATTTCCATATTTATTTTATTCTTAAATTTTTTTTAACTGCGTGTACTCACTTAAAAATTTTAAGGTACAACGCTTTTTACTTATTTTATTTTGCTCGATTATTTTATAGAAATGAGAAATCTTTTTAATTTTTTTTATATATGTAAGAACCTTTTCAAGTTTAAAGTTAATGTGTTATTCTATAATAAACCAATTTAAAATTTTGTCGAGATCTATTACAACAATGAGGGTGTCATAGCCCAAGCGAAAGAATCAATGTCACATTAGCGTTCAAAGCATATTCTGAGATGATATCACCTGATCCAAGAGATTATTGATCGAGGTGACATGAAAATATGCAAAGTTTGATTAAAAGATAATTTGGTAGATTTTCTCACCAAGCCTTTGAGTCATAGCAAACATGATGCTCATACTAGATCAATAGGCTTGAGGTTATGTAATACATTAGTCTGATATGTAAATTTTGGTAAACTTTGAATTTATTTAAACAAAAAATAGTTATGTTTCTATATGTTTTGTCATATTGGGTATATGAGTATTTACATTAAAAATTTATATGTTCATTATTAGCATGTTTAAGTATCTTTAAATAAATAAAGAAGATCATACTATTTAAAACTGTCCTTGACCGGTTATTACTAGGGGACTGGTAATAAATAAAGATCATTATGAAGTCTGGTCATAGTCTAAGTTGGAAGTGCATAAGGTGCAACCAGAGTCGCATACGTTTGTCAGGGCACAAATGTTGAACAAGACCCATAGTCAGAATCATCTCATAGATCAACGTCATAAGGTGAGTCTGAAATGGTAAACACTTGCATCCTCAAACCCGAGATGTGCATTGGAACCTAATGCATAAGAAGTGTAATACTTTGATATAGTCTAACGGTACCCTTAACTGGGTAATCATAAGGGCTATATTGGGTATAACATGAACTGTGTATAAGTCGTGTACATGCAATATAGGATTTGCTCCTTTCAAGTTGAAGGAGATATTTTTGGATCTCTCGATGACATTGTTTGATTTACATGACCATATACAAATGGATTAGTTGAACTAATAACACTTGTCTGAATAAAATTGTTGGGATCAAGAAAAATAATTTTTGAACTACAAAGGATGAGATTGATCTATGCCTTAAGTTTAAATCAAAATATCGTGAAACAAAAGGATAATGAATGATTCTACCATGTGATTGATTAAATCAATCAAATTACTCAAGAAAAAACACATTTATGTAACCGTAGTAACCAAAGCTATAATTAATTTAAAATTGAGAACAACTTTAATATCGAGTAACAACAACAAAGACAAATGTAATTTACTTTGTAATTCCTTTTACTTGAATTTTCATTTATGAATTTCATTCTAACTAGAAGGGTACTCGTGCAATGTAACGATATAGATATCTTGATCTTAATGTTCCGTTTTATTATGTCTATGTAGATGTTTTAATACGGTTTTTATGTTGTTTTCAAAAATGAATAATGATTTTATTTTTGAATAAAATATAAACTTGAAAATATCATAAAATTTTGAAAAATAAATATATCAACATTAGTATCAAATTAATCATTTAAATGTTTTTGTTTTTATGTAATTTCTTTAATTCAATTTTTTTATTATAATTAATTTAGATTTAATAACGAAGTAATTTATTTTTGATTTAATAAGAATAATAATTAATTAATCTGTTAGAACTCAATGATTATCTTGATTATATTTTAGATTTTTTATATTTAAAATAAAATGTTTATCTTGTATTTGACTATGCTTATTTGCAGTTAGTTAAACGAATTCAAAAATAAAGCTTTAATAAGTTGTTACAATTTATTTGTAATCTTGAATTTTAAATAATATGCATTAATAAATAGTATTTAATGCATAAAAATGGTTTTTAAGAGTTTTCGTCAAATGCTTTATAATATAGTATAGATAGTAACGAAAATATTTATAAAAATTTGCTGGTATATTGAAATATTTAAAATTGACTAGAAGGGTACTCGTGAAATGCATCGAGACACATCTTGATTTCAGTGTTTTGTTTTATTCTTTTTTTTATGTGAATATAATACGGTTTTATGTGGTTTTGAGAAAACGATAATGTTTTATTTTTGAATAAAATATAAATTTGAAAATATCATAAAATTTTGAAAAACATATATATCAATATCAGTATCAAATTAATCTTTTTAAAAGTTCTTGTGTTTTGGTGTAATTTCCTTAATTCAATTTTTTTAATTATAATTTAATTTAGATTTATTAACAAAAAAATTTAATTTAAGTTTAATAATATATTTTTTATAAGATGATAGCTAAATATTCTATTAGAACTCAATGATTATCCTAATTATGTTTTAGATTTTTTATATTTAAAATGATGTTTATTCAATATTTAATTATGTTTATCTGCAGTTAGTTATATGAATTCAAATATAAAGCTTTAATAAGTTGTGTTTATGCACAATTTACTTGTAATTTTAAATTTTAAGTAATATGTATCAATAAACAGTACTTCATGCATAAAAAATAAGTTTTAAGAATTTTTGTCAAATACTTTATAATATAGTATAGATATATAATAAATAAATAAATAAATTATTTAAATCATAAAACGAGTTGCAAATATTGCAAGGTCAAATTTGTTATTTATAAACAGGGGGGAAGTGAAAAAGGTTCAAATGCTTGGTCCTAGGGTTAGGGTTTTCTGGAAACAAGTTGGCTCCTCAAAGCTTGTGGCCAATCGGGAGCTGTAATCAATGGCGAATCGTACGGACCCATCGGCAAAGAGCATAAGGGGAACAAACCCACAAAACCTAGTTGAGAAGATATTGAGGTCTAAGATTTACCAAAACACCTATTGGAAGGAGCAATGTTTCGGACTTACAGCAGAGACGCTTGTGGACAAAGCCATGGAGCTGGATCACCTCGGCGGCACACACGGCGGCAACCGCAAGCCCACGCCTTTCATTTGCCTCGTCATGAAGATGCTCCAGATTCAGCCTGATAAAGAAATCGTCGTCGAATTCATCAAAAATGAAGATTATAAGTCAGTCATCTTCATCACTCTTTTGCTTTTTTAATAGATTTACTATTTAGAATATATGCTTATAAGTAAACTGAAATGCTTGCGTCTCGCATTATCATCTGCTGAGTAGATATGTACGAGTATTGGGAGCCTTTTACTTGCGACTTACAGGCACAGATATTGATGTGTACCGTTATCTAGAGCCTTTGTACAACGACTACAGGAAACTGAGACGCAAATTAGGTGATGGGCGTAAGTATTTTGACCATAAACTGTTTGAGCTAAATTATGACTCTGAACTTCATTTTCCTATTTCTTGGTATACTGATGTATTTTGATATCTTTGTTTTGATGTTTTAGAATATGCGTTGACACATGTGGATGAGGTTATCGACGAACTCTTGACAAAAGATTATTCCTGTGATATTGCTCTGCCACGCATAAAGAAAAGGTAGATCAGCACACTATTGTGCATTTCATCTTGTCTTTCTTATTTCTTCTGTTGTTCTGAGATTATGATGTGCCAATAGATTTGCTTGCAGTGAAGATAATTAGTAACTTGCATAATTATATACCTCTTCCAGGGGGAGTGGGGAGCATGAATTAGGAGGCAATTCGACACCTACGCCCATGCATCCTATTATCCTCTATGCAATATCATTGCATCTACTGTTATTTAACCAAATGATAAGAAATTAACACTACATCAAGTAGACCATTATAATTTCGAACCATAGCATCAACTAGATTAGAATACTGGACCTGAGGTGAAGTGAACCAAATTTCATCACAAGACAGCCCATAGCTTAGTATTTGTATTCCATTACTGTACCTGGAAGTACCATTTCAACATTCTACCAATAAATTTACCTAGAGAATCGTTGAATACATGTCAAATGGTATGCAATGCTATCGGCTGCGTATTCTAGAATGAGGCTTGCTGGGTAGGTTTATTTAAGTGTTGTTTCATTAGCACTTTAATTGTAATCTAAACTTAAAAGGAACTTTTATGGAATATACTTTTATGTAATGATGCATAAATTTTTGAAAGAGAGATTGAATACTTTGAAGATGCAGTTGTTGATGCTAAATTTAGGTGTTAGCATGTTTGTCCCATTTCTATACTGTGAATTTGTGGACTACAAATAAGTAGTGTTTCTCAAATGGATAAGGAATGCAGTAGGTGCATATTCTGGAATGATATGTTGTATGAGCTTTGTTTGGGTGCTATTGTTTTAGAATTTCGGTTGTAATCTATGCTCAAAAGAAACTTGCGGGATAGTCAGTTCTAGTGATGGAAATTTGATGCTTCGGGGTGGGTACCCGCCTCTAATGGAAAGGGTATTCCCCGGCTTAGCTGGTATTGGGGTGGGGACGTGTATTGCTTTCTATAGCCGAAGTGGGTTCAAGGCCGGGATTGGGATGTTACTCCCCTTCCCTAATACCCGATATATATTAAGGTGGATTTAAGATCCAAAGTGAAAAGGCTGATAATCCCTAATCAATGATTTCAAAAGGCCAGTCAAGGGAGTTTTAAATCCTGACGGCATATAATATCCTAAAGGAACATTTGGGCACAATAGAACACCATATTCGCCGAGGATAAACGTAGTATATAACTTTTCTCCAGGTGATTAATTTTAAATTTTCATTTTAATGAGCCATTTTTCTTTTTTTCAAAAACTGAATAATTAACTTTTTTTTCGTCAACAAAGGTCCTTTTCTTTTCATTTAAAATTAAATATTTTAATTTTTTAAAAACGGGTTCCCCCTCCCCGTCTCGCGGAACTCATCAGGGTATAGGGTGCACAAACACCAATTCCTTGCCCCCGTTTTAATACCTAGTCGGTTCTGTATTTACTACATATGTATTTGAAAGGCAAAATTTGCAAAACCTTTTCAAGTTTCAGCGGTCATTAAGTTTGAGTGTTTGTATCCCTATTTCTGCATGTTTCAGATGGTTAAGGTTGGTGTTCTGGAAAGGAATCGTACTAGTACATTGGAACATATTGGAACACTATTTCAATATGATAAAGGTGTTTTTCTTTCATATCAGCTCTCATTGTCAAAAATGATTTACGGACGCTTGAGCACGTATGTGTGTGTGTATATGTAAATGATGTATTCTGTGTGATTGTTTCTTCTGATCTATTCGTTGTATACAGTTGTTTAGTAGAAGATAACACCTTATAGTATTTCTTGTATGTTTATATTGTTAGTGTTTTTGTCGTTGTTGCTGCTTGGTATACGAAGTGTGCTCATGGATGATAATAACACGGTTTATGTGTAGATGTCATGACATGATCTTTTATGAGAAAAAAATGCAATTAAGTTGGTGCTTTTGTCACTTACAGGCTTACTATTGAAGCCATTGGTGCTCTAGAACCTAGAAAAAGTGCACTTGAAGATGATTTTGAGGAGGAAGAGGAAAAGGATGAGGATGACCAGCTCATGGATACAGATATTGGGTCTCACGATAAGGTTCAAATCTGTCTACATAACCACTTCTATATGAATTCCTCACTTCTAATATATATTTAATGACTTCTTGTTTGAAATAGGATTACTATCGTGGACAAAGCCCAACAAGGGAAAGAGGCCGAGATAGGAAACGTGACAGCCATAGACATAGGTATGACTTGCTCTTTATCCATGTTATCTTATGTGCTACCCCAGAGTTCTATTTGACATGTTTAATATCCCCTGGAGGTATTGGCACCCGTCACCTCTTAATTACGTGCTATTAAATTTTGGGTGGTTAATTGGTTATAACTATAGTTCTTTTTCTTATGTCACTTTTAATGTTGAATTATAGCATAGCTTGTAATTGACTATTTCCACGTAGAGGCATATGATGGAGTACCGTAGTTGCAACTCTTCATAAATGGTTTATTGGTTTAATTCTATGTTTATTTTATGAAGTCATGTTTGCTTATAGCAAAGGCCTCTTTGATTGGAACTGGGGTATATGTAATATAATTTACTCTTGCATTGGTTGAAGTTTGTAGGATTTGTGCATTAAATTCGTATCCACCATTTGGCAAGAGTCTTCTCCTCGGTAGCGATCATTTAAATTTGTTCTAATACTACTGATCTTTAAGTAGCTCCCAGGCAGAGGATAATCAGTGTTGGTAAAAGCTTTACGAATACTAATAGTCATTTTGGTCACTGCACTTTAAGCTTAATAACAAGAGCAAGCACATAGCTACAATTGTACTTACTGTGAAACTCACAAGATTATCTTCCAGTAAAAGAAGCATGTCAAGTAATACACATTCTCTCTCATAGTCACATTGTCTCTTTCAAAAGAACGAAAAATGACGTGTTTGGTCATTGCCATAGATTTACTTGTACAACAATTAGATAGTTTCTGTTTAAATCACAGTTGGGTATCAAATAAGATACAACTTAACAATTGGGAACTCTTGACTCTTGTTAGTTTCCTCAAACGACTAGTGGAGGAAATGTTGACCTGGAATTAGTTCAACGTGTTTTTGTTATTTGTTTCTTCAATGATCCTTTTGGAACAAAGAATAGCCATTTAGAAGAAAAGCACCATGCAGAATCTTAGTTTACAATAATCTTCTCCAGAAACATCCACCAAGTGCTCTGCTGCCCGTTGGTTCCTTTCTACACAGGATAAAATATCCAAAGCAAGTTATTTTAGCCCTTATACGGAGAAAAGCGATTCAAACATATATATTACATCTGTTCACACCAAAACCATGTGTCATTCCACCATCACCCTTCCCTGACTTCGCTCTCCTGATTAACATATTCAAACAACACATGTATATGTTGACAATTTGGTCACTATTGACAGGCATCAGACTAGCTTCCTTCAAGATTGAAGTTTTCCTCAATATCTTGTTTTGAAATTGCATATCTAAAATCAAATGATTTTTGAGATGATATGAAGAATTTAAACTTGCAGCTTTATTTTTGCAAGGAAGGACGTAAAAAAATCTGGTTGCCCTAGTTCAACTTGTGATTTGAACCAATCTTGAAATTTCTTTTTGGATTTTGGTTTGTGGTTGTAGTAGGATTGTAGGTTCCATTTTAAGTGTGATCACAATTTTCAGGTGTTAAAGCCACCGCCATATGTGGGACATCAACTGTGGTTGTTGAGTTTTTTTTTTGCAACCAACCATCAAGCTTGTTTGTATTGTTCCTGTGGTTGGATTTTGTTCACATTCATTTGGCAGTTATTTTGACATCCTTGGTTGGTCATGATTGTATTTGACCATTGATCAACATCGTCTCATCAGCAGAAATATGGGTCTAGTTCACTGTTGTACATTGTGGCCACAAATTTCATTAAGGACTTGCCTTTCCTTTTTACTCACTTGCAAAAGGATCAAGGTTTACTCCAATGAAAATGTACTCCCTCCGTCCACAAGAATTGCCACATTTGACCCTGCATATGAATCAATAAAAGTGCACATGATCATTACTAATTCTAGATGTCAAAATAGTATAGCTAGCAAGCTATCACTACATTTATAATGATTACAACATAACAATCAGGTAAATTTGACTTTAAGTTTATTTCTAAGAATCAAATATTGCACTTCTTTTGTACATTCCCGAGTGGATATTTTGCTGTTCTTGATGGGTCGAGAGAGTAGTAAAATGTCCCAGTCAACATCTTTGGTTTAGTGATGATTAACAGGAATTGCCCTTAATGTTTGCTCATCTAATACTTATACTAGTCGCCCAATCTTTAGGAGCTTAGCTATGTGGCAGAACAAATAATTGTGGAGATTGACACAATATAAATGGTGTGGTTATGATAGGAGTCAAGAGTTTCTATAAAAATAGCAATACAAATATACAGTCGTGATTTTAGAGTATTGATGTAAAGACGTATTTAGCCTATTTAGGATAATGCAGTTCATTTATTTTATCGTTAGGGATATCTTAATCATTGTAGTATTTCTCTTGCTCTCCAAGAAATGCTAGGATATCCCCTTCCTTCTAAAGTTCGTATTCTTCAGTCATCAGTGGTTGATTGTTTAAGTTGAATATGTTTTTCCCTCGAGTCGATCAACTTTTGACATGAGCCCTTCATCTTGGATGTGAATCCCTAAGAAATCCCAGGGTTTGAGGTTTCACACTTCTGAATCTTATCTTTTATTGTTGTAATATTTCTGAGGGACATGATTTTGTTCCCTTCCATCAGTTCATTTTTATGTCCCTATCTCTTTGTATTGCTTAAAATACTTGCTTTATGGCTTTTGTCATGCTCGTGCATGTTTATATTTTAGAACAGTTGGTGAAGGCTTTACAACTCAAAGAAGTATCTTATTCTTAACATCTTTATAATACCCCCTTTGGTGAAAGCTCTGCTTTCTTTCAACCTGTGTCAAGAAGTTATATTACATGGAGGTTACAACTCATAAATAGTATCTTATTCAGTACTCACCCCAAATGAGATGACCGGCTGAGTTTTCTCAAATTTGTTACCATGAAAAATTGATTAAATTTTGTTATGCTAGTCCAAGGACTTGTGGAAGCTGTTTTCAACATTCTGCCAATAGACATGCATGCACATGGGCAGACCTAGTTTTACATCTCACGGGTTGGCACTGTCTTGTGCTTTCATAGGCTCAAGGCACTGTAGCTGCCAGTTGATCTAAACAGCTTCCTAGATCAATAGATTATGATCCTGCCAGGTTTCTCTGTACTGACAGTGTACAGCTGAGAAGTATGATGGATCGCACATTCTTATCTTATCATGACCATCAATTTGTTTCACAACACAAGTTGATTTACTTCTTTTTTTGCACTCGAGTTTCCATATTTCTTATAGATTGTATGCCTGCACCATTTGTTTCGGCCTAGTCAGAATAACTTAAATCTTGCTGTAGTTGGCATGGGTGAGGTGCAATCATATCGTATTTGTTTTCTGGTTATGTTCTTTCTAATCATTGCCAAAAAACGGTGACATGAGGAAAGAAATTAAGAAGGAAAAACATGTAAAGCCATCATCGGTAATGACGACAATTATTTTTTTTTCTTTTGAAAATGATGATAACAATAAGTTCGTTGAAAAGGGTTGAAGGAATGCATCTTCTAGGGAAACTAAAAGACTTGAGAAAGGATCTACCAGTGAAACTAGTATCAGTTTTCAGAAAGATGGGGTAGGTAGACACTACCATTAGTCAAAAGACGCTGTATAGTTTAACGTTTTTTAGTATTGTAAGTAAGTTTATTGCAATTATCAGCCATGATAACAGAATTGTTGTTTTTGCTTCTTGAAATGCATGAAGACATAGTTTTAGGTCATCTATGTTCATGTTTTGTTATTCGGTGTTTTGGTTTTTGTCCCATTGGTTCTATTATTTTATGTAATAAAAATATATGTGAGGTTAAGTTCGTGTTTTTTTATCTTTTTTGGGGGGGGGGGGAGGGGGCACATTTCAGTGTTTTACGCCCCTTGACCATTACCATATTATGCAATGTATTGTTTATGTTGCAAAAATAGCATGGATCAAATTCGGTTATGTGATGCCATGTGAATTATTATCTATTTATTTCAGGGAGCGAGATCATGAAAGAGAATATGAGAGAGATTATGAAAGGGATCGTGGAAGAGGACGTGATAGGGATAGGGATAGGGATAGAGACAGGGAGCGGTATCGTGAAAGGGATTATAGAGAACGGGAAAGGGAGAGGGAAGGTAGGGAAAGGGATAGACGTGACAGGGAGCGTGGAAGCAGGAGGAGGAGCCCATCACGGAGCAGAAGCAGAAGTAGGGATAGAGATAGAGACAGAAAGGATCGTGATCATGATGGTGAAGAACGACGCAGGCGGCATGCACGTGATAACAGCAGTAGCCCTAGAAGAGGGGCAGCAGAGGATGAAAAGCCCCCAAAGAAGAAGAAAGAGAAGGAGAAGAAGAAGGATGATGGAACGGACCATCCGGATCCAGAAATTGCTGAAGCTAACAGGATACGTGCATCGCTCGGTATGAAGCCTCTGAAGCTATGATATGTAAATGTAAGTGATGCAGGCATATTTGTCATTATGCATATCGTGAAATAAAAATGTTGTAATTTTCATGAAATGTAACAATGAATGAGGAGGAGATTTTGGAATTGGAACATGGCTGCTACTGCTGCTGATTCTTCTAGTCGTGGTTTAGATGATCGTCTTGGTTGGACCTTGGGTCTCTTGTGATCAACTACTTTTGGTTAGGTTTTTTCCATTAAGGTTTGTATGGATAAAGCTTACTATGGATTGAGAGGGGTTTTGTTTAGAAGGAACAAGTTTGGAAAAACTTGGTTTTCTTCATAAAACTCTCCCCTAGAAGTTTACCAAATAATCCATTTTCTATTTTAAGTTACTACCAAACAGTTATGTATAGTTGACTAATCTATATCATGATTCACTCTTTTTCAATATTATAGGGGTACTTGTACAATGTAGCGAGATAAATCTCCATTTTAATGTTTAATTTTATTATTTGAATGAAATATAAATTTGAAGATAACATAAATTAAAAAAAATAAAATCAATATTAGTATTAAATTAACTATTTGTTAGTTTTTGTTTTTTTGGTGAAACTTCTTTAATTCAATTTTTTTATTATAATTAAATTTAGGTATAATAACAAAATAATTTATTTTTGGTTTAGTAATATACTTTTATAGATAGTTGGACTGGAATTGACGAACACTTAATACCAATATTATTCTTTATTAGTATTAGTGTCCAATAAAAATATAAATGGGACGTGAGGGGGCAGGGATGGCTATATTTCTGGGAGCGAACTCCGGGCGAATATGAAGCGCATGGATACAAGTTAGGCCTTGGAATGAAAGACAATTCCGGGTTCAAATCCCGTCTCCGCAATACTTTTTGTCAAAAAAAAATTGTATGTTTTACTCTGGTAACTAGTAATTAGTAATAGATTAACCATTTCTTTATTTTCCGATCGCCCGAGAAAAGAAAGTTATTAAAGATAATAATTAAATATTCGGTTAGAAACTTGATAATTATCCTAAGTATATTTTAGATTTTTTATATTTTAAAATGAGATGTTTATCCTCTATTTGATATGTTTATCTGTAGTTAGTTACACGAATTCAAACATTGAGCTTTAATAAGTTGTACTTAATGCATAATTTACTTGTAATCTTGAATTTTAAGTAATATGCATCAATACACAGTACTTTATGCATAAAAAATGGTTTTTAAGAGTTTTTGTCAAATGCTTTATAATATAGTATAGATAATTTTCTTATAAAGATAATAGTTAATTATTTTGTTAGAACTCGATAAGTATCATAATTATATTTTAGATTTTTTATATTTTGAAACGAGATGTTTATCCTCTAGTTAATTATGTTTATTCACAGTTAGTTATATGAATTCAAACATAGAGCTTTAATAAGTTGTACTTATACATAATTACTTGTAATATTGAATTTTAAGTAATATACATTAATAAACAGTACTTCATGCATAAAAAATGGTTTTTAAGAGTTTTTATTAAATGCTTTATAATATAGTATAGAAGTTGTATATGCATTTTGAGCTTTGTGAGAATATATGGAACCAGTTCAAAAAAAGCTCTTAAAGGAAAGTATGGACTTTATCATATAATTAATTAAGAGAAAGAGTCCAAGTCTAGCCCTATATAGGGTTCCAACTCGCCCCCTCTAATGAAGGCTAAATGGACAAGTTATCCATGATGTCGAGAAGGGGGTAGACGTATAGGGTTGGGTTCCTGTGAGAAACGTAAGAAGAGATCTCCACTCTTGGATCAATCCTAATCGAATGTCATGACTAATGAGGTGCACCGAGATGTATCAAATCAATTCCCTTTTGAAGCACGATTTATGAGTGTTCATGAGATTAAAAGTGATCATAGGTTCAGATCTTTTCTTACGTTTCTCACTATAACTTCTCTTCTCTCATGATCTTTCGCCTAAACGTATATATGTTGTCCTAGAATGTTAAGGTGATAAACATTGATTTTAATACTATATCAGCTTTGTCGAATTATACGAGACAATCAAGGATGAAAATGGAGAAATCGGATTTAGATTAATAATGAGTCATTTATCAAACACTTACCCAGTAAGTGTTTACCTGTAAATTTCAACACTATCACTTACTTACTGAGTAAGATTTTAGTCCACCAAAATGATATTGTATTCAACAATTTACCCGATAAACGCTAACCATGGTAGACTCTCACTTACCATGTAATACTCTTGATTCTTGGCTTCGTTCTTACCGTGTAGGACTAGGCATGAAATGGGGCGATGATAGGGCAGGGACCTCAATCCCTATCCCCGTCTCCGATCCCTCACTATATCATCGTCCATATTCCCATTCCCGCCAGGGAATATGATCACATCTCCATCCCCAATGGAGAACGGGGATCCCCAATGGGGAAACGATGATTTTCTTTTTCCGTTTATATAAGCTATTTTAAGTCAAATATGCGAGACATCACACATGTTTAAATTTTACAAATTTTTGATAAACCTAAAATCAAAAGGAATTTAATTTAATATAAAAAAAATCACATCATCATATGATAATTAATAAGCTAAAAACAAAAGAAATTCAATTTAATAAAAAAAAATTAATACCACAAGTATCAAACCATATCGAGTAATATCCAAAACCATATCGAGTAATATCTAAAACATATCAAGTAATTGTATTTTGACTTAACATTCAACTATTACATATTAACATCCAACAAATAACAATTTTAGATTTCAAACCTAGTTCCGAAATAAGAAATTATGAATTATTGATTTAGTTGAAATAAATAATACAACGGGCACAGGGCGGGGCAAGATTACGATACTTGTCCCATCCCCCTCCCCGATTTGAGATAAAAGGGGAACCCCATCCCCGATCTAGCGGGGAATCCCCGTCCCCGACCGGAGCGGGTGGTCTGGGTTCCCCGACGGGTCAGGGGCCATTTTCAGCCGATGTAAAATTCTTAATCCTTGTCATATGCATCCGATAAGATAATATGACTTGGTAAACACTTACCTGGTCCTTGCCATATTCATCCACCAATCTAAATCACTATCGATCGTAACCACCGTCGACCACCGTCAATCTAAACTACCGTCGATCACCGTCTATATGAACCAACCACCGCCATCCGAATCACCACTGACCACCACCGATTTGAACCACGCTGGCTTAAACCGCCGTCGACCACCGCTAATCTGAACCACCACCGAACACCGTTGATCTGAACCACCGCTGACCACCACCAATCTGAACCACCACTGACTTAAACCGCCGTTGACCACCACTGATTTGAACCACACCGACCACCATCGATCTGAACCACCGTTAACCACCACCAATCTGAACCACCGTTGACCACCCCGATCTGAACCATTCTTGACTACCACAGATCTGGACCACCGTCGACCACACCTGATCTGAAATACTGCCGACCACCTACAATCTGAACCACCGTTGACCACCACCTATCTAAACCACCACCGACCACCCGCCATCTGAACCACCACCGATTTGAACCACCGTCAACCACCACTTATCTAAACCACAGTAGTTGGATTTCAGTTTCAAAATTTTCAAAAAGTGTATTTTGGTCATTTACTAGTATTTTATTACAATTCTAAAGCTACATTATGTGAACCACACAAACATATTTCAATTTCTTTAAGACTGCATTTGGTACATGGGACAGGACAAAACAGGACGGGACAAAACTCAATGTCCCACGTTTGGCGCAACATGGAACAAAACAAGAAAACATTGTTCCACGTTTGGCGCGACATGGGACAAGGACAAGAACTGGGACAAGGTGGAAAAACATGGGACAAAAGAGGTTTTTCTTATTCTATCAAAATAGGTGGAACAAGATTGGACAAGAATGAGACAGAAACTAAAATGTTACTAATCTACCCTAATTTGATATATAACCTTAATATGGTTGTTTTAATGGTCATTACTGCTAGTTTCGGCTGCCGCCACCACCGGCGGCCACCTCCACCTCCTCTTCAACTACAACGACATCCTCCACCGTCTCCGTCTATTGCCACCACCACCACCACCACCACCACCGTCGTTCGCCACCTCCAACTCCTCCACTACAACAACCTCCTTCACCACCACCACAATCCACGATCTTCATGTGCTTTATAACCACCGTCGCCCACCAACCACGACTGCCTCTACCTCCATAACCACCGTCGGCCACCGACCACCACCGCCCATTGCCACTACTACCGGCGGCTACCACCACCTCCACCACCCCACCATTACTACCATCAATTATATCAAACTTTTCATTCAAATTTAGTACCATTATATATGTATGTATTCATTTATATAAAAATTGTGTACAAATATTTATAAATTAATTTTTTTTTACTTATTTACTTTATTTGCGTTAATTATAACTATTATATAATATTTAAAATCATCAAATAACTTTTGATGATAGTTTGTCTAGTTCTGTCCCGTCTAGTCCTAGTTGTACAAAACACCAGACATATTCTTGTTCTGTCCAGTCCTACCCTCTTGTCCTGTCCAGTTCTGTCATGTCCTGTCCAATCATGTCTGTGTACCAAATGCTACCTAACGTCTTACATTTCAATTATTGTTAATCGAACAGATGGTCAAACACCTGATAACATTTAATTCCAATTACTTAAAAATCAAATTCCTTTAACATATTTCATTGCATCCAAAAACATTTTATAAACGAAACACCCCTAGCCTAGGTTACAAATGAAAGAAGAAAAGCAAAACTATAGAAAAACGACAAGAAATGTCCCTAAACGATCTCCAATTAATTGAGTTTAAGAATACTACAAAAAAAACCCTCTAAGGCTTTTATAAAATCATTAAAATGTGATTTGGCCACTATTTTAGATATTTAAGTTTTTGAAGTTTCAAAAAGAACCCTCAAGTTTATAAAATTATGTATGGCCGCAATTCTCATATATTTTGAAATTTTAGTCCTTGTTTAATGTCAAAACTTGTTAAGTTTATATATTTAGCAATGAAAATATAAAAGGCCGTAGACCATCTAAAACCAAATCACTAAAAATGAATACTAAGGAAGTTAAAAATGATGGTTCATTGAGGACTAAAAAAAATCAACCCAACTTCATACTTAAAAAAACACTAATGATCTTACCTAATGAAAGTTCGACTCTTACCATAGTTAGTACTTATCGGATAAATTGTTGCATACAATACTGTATTAATGAACTAAAATATTAACCGGTAAGTGATAGTGTAAAATTTTACCAGTAAGCGCTTATCAAATAAGTGTTTGGTAAACGAGCTCTAAGGGAACATTTAACAACTCTAACCGGGTAAGAATCACCTCCTTCACTTACCTTAGTGAGCAAGATTCTCGGTCATAAAATTGACATAGTAAGATTATTAGTAAGCGCTAGCCAGGTAAGATTCTCGGTCCATACCATGTTTAAGGTGAATCACGCACTAAACACTTACTGAGTCAACGTTTAGTAATAAGTGCTTGTTTACTAGCGTATTATCACCTCTTATCAATAATGGGTCACAAAAAAAAACATGTGATTGTTAACTATGCGTTTATTTAATTAGAGACAAAGATAGAAACACATGTGACCAAAGACAAAGGACGGAGTTTTCCTTATTTCAATATGTGATTCCACTCTCCAAAACCCTACCGTTTTAAGACGTAGACAAATCAAATTGAAGACCCCTTCGTGGTTAATGCATGCTTACAATACATGGATCACAGCCAAAGCAAACAAGTAGAAAACGCGTCAAGATCAATCCAAGAAACGAACAAACTCAAAACCAATAACGGTTTGCACTCGTATATGAATACTAAAATCATCGAGCATTTAAACTTTGCGCTTCTTGAATTAATTGTTTTTCTTTTGAAAAAGGACGATTAGGGTTAGGTTAGGAACTCCATCTTTAGATGCACATTAAGATGAGATGTCCAGATTAATCCCCGTATCAAGCGAAATTCATGAGTAGGTTTGAGATTAAAGATGATCAAGGGTCCAAATCTCTTACACGATCCTATGCCTTGTGTGATAAAGGCAATCCGGGCTCAAGTTTCATGCCGCGCTTCCAAAACATAAAGCTGTTATTTACGACGAGTGGTTAGATTGTAAATCAATTAACGTTGAATGCTTTAAGTGGGTTTTTGTTTTAAATTATGGAAATCGTAATATGTTGGTAGTATCTTGAATATCAATATATTTTCACAAATAAAAAGCATATGGAAGACATTTTGGATCAACACAATATAAAACATTTGGTAAACAACATAAACATAAATATAGAAATGAATCATGAATAAAAGATATTTTTTCTTAAATACATACCCATCTATTGACAAAGCTTAAACAGAAGCAGATTAACATGGTTACAAACACATTGAAGCTTTCATTTCCAGAATCAAAGTATCACACTCCAATTTAATTTCTTATATGTATATATGATGGTAACATTTGTTCTTAATTAGTCCAACAGCCAAGCACAGTTTATAATTAACACACACACACACACACACTCCTCCTACCCTCACCTACAGACTCTGTATCTCTTTCACACACCATTTTTAGATTTAGCACAAAACACTGCCACAGAAAGAATGTATTACTATTTACCTTAGTTGCAGCAGTAGCAGTAGCAGTAGCTGTAGCAGATTACGTTGACCTTTTCCCTTCCATTGCATCTTTCTTTCTCCGACACTTTGAACATAACATCGGTCCTTCCCACGGCTGTGAATGTGATGATGGTGTTCCAGATACATCATCATGATCCGCTTGACAAACTGCGCATCTAAACATTCCTGAGTTTGAGTTTAAAGCCAAATCTTTTCCCAGCCTGCAGTTAATACACAATAGAACATTATAATCATTTTATATATCAATGTCAGCTAATGAAATAGGAAATGCTATCGTGTATATATACATACATCTGTATGTATGCATGCAAGTAGCTAAAGAAGGCAATATGTTTACTGATATACAAACATGTATTGCTTGACCCTAGATAAGCATCATGGTTAAGGAAACCTCCTTTAGGTCTGTAAGTAATCTTTGAGGATGTGGAGGGTGTCATCATGTGAGTAACCTTGACTTCATGAGTTAGATATAAACAAAAATGAGGCCAAGTATGCTTTACAGTTCAAAATGATGAAATGGGAATATCTACGTACATATAGCAACAATATGAACATTAAGGAAAGATATGATTGTAAATGACGATGATCACCAGATATGTGTATGAAATCTGAACATAAACCAATGTCATATAACTGTTAATAAAACTTTTGTCCCTCTGTATATTTTCACTTCTTCCTGATTAACATGTGGCCTCCTTAATTACCTCCAATGTTTCGCATCCTAATCTATCTTTAATTTCCCTAATAATTCAACATATAGCATTTATTACGCTGCATGCACTAAAGAACTCTGAATACTTTCTTCAATTTGATATTGAATGGTTTTTGAATTCAGAATTAACTAGGAAACTTTATTTGGGACCGATCAAGCCCAAATAACCATATATGGTCCACAGCATTTAAGATTAAACAAATAAAAATCTACCAAAACCAGGCTGAACATATCATGGCAAGTCACGATATGATTCATGATCATGTGCATATATATCAACACAAGCGTGTATCTCAACTCTTAGCCTTGTAACGGTTACATTTAGAGTTAACCAAAATCCATATGTTGGCGTATTTGTTTAACAGAAATTTGTGTCACGTCTTCCTGACTAGCTAATTGTTTCTTTCTTAATCTTTTCCATTATTTACCCAAACCCTTGCATGTGCATATGAGGATCCAGATGTCTGCACTCATAGTTTCAGAAACAACATATAAACATGGAATGCAAGGTGCAGAGATTCATATATCCCTCATATTTTACATCTAGTTTTAGTGTCACAATGTGTAAATCAATTCATGTCTACATGCATTCTGTTTTCATGTGTATAAGTAAGAAGCTGAATATCTCCGAGTGTAAGACTGCAAGTGATTCCCGTCTAATGAGGCATCTTAATAATACCATTTAGCAAAGAACCTAATGGTGGATGCTGTTCCATCATCGCCAATGAAAGTTTCTCATTATCGCACTGCCCCTGAATAGGTTATTTTTTATCCAGCTCCAGATGAGCATGCATCAATCAGCTGCTAATGGTGGAAAGTGGTGAAGAAAAACTAATTATCCCTTAGCATCTCAAAAATTTCAGTCGATACAAGATGTGTTGGTTGGAAACTGATCCACCCAAAAACAACGAACCTTCAGTTCTCCTTGCACCGCACGTGTAATTTCCAAAACTATAGCAACTATCTATGACTGGTCAAATCTAGACCTATAAATCTGGTCGTGCTGGTTTTAACATCTCTAAAGCTAGAAGATGTCCAGGAAACAGCCAGAGTAAAGTTAGAATAAGTTGATCCCTGACATACCTTTCTGCAAGCATTGCAGAACCTTCTTCAAATAGTTCCTCTACTACCCCAACAGCTGAAAGCTTATTTGGTGCTTTATTAATAGAGTTCTGAAATTTCTTTCCGAGAATGAGTGAAGTGAGAAGATTTTGTTTCTTTCTGGGTGTTGGAGGCAGGACTGGATAGCCTAATGGGATGATATCAACAACCAGGCAGGTTGTGTCATCTTTTAGTCCACGTGACCTAAGAGCCTCCTGAAACCAAATTAAAAGCATTGGATTAAGATCAGTGAATAAGTGAACATAAGGGAATTAAATATTGTTGGTTGGACAACACCTTGACAACAAGCTTGGCAGCAAGTTCTGCAGGCAATCCACGGCAAGATTGAGCAGCCACGTCAGATGACAAAGCATCCCAGATACCATCAGAAGCAATTATAAGTCTCCCCCCAGAATTTGAGAGCTAAGCATACAAATAAAATGTCAATTTTAATCATATCAAAACCTATAATAGACAAAGTCATGTATTATTTGCAACCTTGACTTGCTTGACGTGAGGTATTGGGACAATAAACTCCCCAACATCTGTATCGCCAATAGACCTTGAGAGGCACAACCCACCAGGCCAACAGCGAAGCGGACCAACCTATAATATAACAGCCGCAAGGACATAAGATTTACAACCCTCTTTCCTACAAACATAGAACTTAAATATTGACTTCTTTACCCCATCCCCTCCAAAAATATTAAGGCGTCCTACTTCACCCCCACTCGCTGTCACTCGCTCCCTTTCTTCAACGTTCTCTTCAAGCCTATGATCAACTGTCAATAGTGATACCACACCAGCTTGCGTGTCCAGTATGCATCGTGAATCCCCAACAGAAGCAACAGTTATGGTCCACCCATCAATCACAACGAATGTAACAGTTGTCCCAGATGTCTCACCTAATATTCATCAACGAGAGTTAAATAGGAATACACAGAGAAGAAAAATAAAGGAATGCTCCAAGTGATAGTGAAGTTAATGAGGTAAAGCCATTACCTTTCTGTTGAAACTCTATGTCAGTTTTTACAAACCCTGCAACCAATGCTCTAGGAAGTGCTTGAAGCCACTCTTCACGGCCACATCCTTGAGGAATCGCACTTAAAATATTGTTCAACAAATTTTCCTTTGCAAATATGGCAGCTGATATACCATTATGCCCATCAAATATCTACCAACAAACCAATTTCAACAATCCCGTTATTAACCAATTTAGAACAGCTTATAAACAATAAAGAAACCGTTTGCATATATACCGCAAAAACTGAGAAAGATGTTGACGGATTCCCAGGAATTCTCTGGCAATCAGGCTTGATCAAGAAATAATCCTCCCCTTTCTTTGCCAGTGCGGCCTGTCCATGATTGACGGTAGGTTTCTCTACATTCCCATGCCTAAGCTCACGCCTAATCAGAGTCCCAAGCGGTACAAGAGGTGGCTTCGTTTTCATCCTGAAAGTCTCCTTTTCGTTCATTTTACACTACAGATTGTCATAATGATCCGTCGTCAGACACCCTATTCCATTTTCAAAAACACATCAGTAAATACATCCAACTCCATCGGCTGATCTAAAAACTGTTAAAATACCATCTGAATCCAACAACGATAACCTTCATACGAACTAAAATTTATACAAAATCCTTCAAAAGATGGCCCCAAAACTGTAATGTAAATACATATACACACACGCATAAACATTTATTGACAAAAATAATCTCCAGAAACATCAAGCCTGCAAAATGCAGATACACACAACCAAAACATGTGCTCTCACAAAACTTGTACCAATTAATAATGATGAGAATCGTTAATAACTTACAGCGAAGACATTGAAGAACGTGCAACCAGATCTAGAAGAAACTAAAACAACATTGACGAAATTTCAATCCAGATTTGATCAGTTGAGAGGGTAAATCGAATGCTCAAAACCCTAAAACACAAAATTTGGGTGATTTTGTTATGAAGATTATGGGTTTAGGAGAGAGAAACGCGGGGATGGGTTTGGGGCAAATGTCCCCCTGATTTGACATTCGACCCTTTTTATTGTTATGTCCGAATTTGTACCTTTTTCTAATCCAAAATCCCCTTCTTCCTTTTTTCCCTTAATTAATTAATTTAATAGTGGACTATTTTTTATTTATTTAAAATCATCTTATAAAATTAATACTATTTTATTTTTATAATTAAATATTTAATTTATGTTTTTTATTGTCATTATCGTTTCCTTTAACCAACAATCCACTTGATACATACGATTGAAAATACTGGGTACAGAATAAATCTCAATATATGTATGATATTGACTTTGATTGACGACGAATTACGTAGTCGATAATGTAATCGTTAAATAAACGAAGAACATGTCGATGCTTTATTACCCTAAAATTGGTGTTTGTGTGTGTAAACGTTGGCTTACACAAGCCTCGGCTGGTTCAATGAAGCCTTAAATTTAACAGTCGGAACAACTCTGAGGGGACTCGAACTGGTGAACAGTAGGAAGTAAAATTAAGATCTGATCTGATCTATCGAGCTACCTTCAAGAGTTACCTGAGATTAATCAATTGGAGAACAATTCAGAAACCTGTTTACAATGTAAATAGCAACAAGAAACACAGTGCCTTCAACATCTGTTATAGACATTAGCTGGTTAAAAAAAACTCGGGCAGACTCAAGAATGCTGGTATGTTTTCTTTATGCTCTTTAATTTGTTGAAATAAGATCGATGACAAAACAAAAACTTTGCGATTCTTGGTCAACAAGTTCTCGATCATCGTTTTTCATAATTTCAGTAGCCGTACGAAACCAAATATTTTGGATGGGAATGAAAAAAATTGACAAAAAACAATGAATGTTTACTGGACGTGAGATATCCAGCCCATGTGACCCTCGAGATGATAATACTCAAAGATAATAAATTCATTCGTACTTAGAGGTGACAACCGGAAATGTCGAGTTATTAAGTAACAAGTCGAAATGGTCCCGTCAATCACATCTTTTTTGGCACATTGTATTCGATTTGATAACGGAAGATTTGTGATTTTTCTTTGACAACAAAATTAATATCTATTCAATAAGTCTTTGTTTATAAAGTTAGTTATAAAAATCTAAATATCTGTTTTATTTTTCATTTAAAATGTAAAATACATTATTCATGCTTGTAAACTACTAGAAATGTATTTGTGTAATGCATTGAGACATATTTTCATTTTAATGTTTCGTTTTTTTTTATCTATGTCGATATAATATGATTTTATGTGATTTTTAGAAAGCGATAATGTTTTTATTTTTGAATATAATATAAATTTAAAAATATCATATAAAATTTGTAAAAAATATATCAATATTACTATTAAATTAACTATTTAAAAGTTAGTGTTTGTGTATTTTTTTAATTTAATTTTTTTATTATAATTCAATTTAACGTAACGAAGTAATTTAATTTAGGTTTAATAATATTTTTTTATAAAGATAATAATCAAGTATTCTGATAGAGCTCAATAATTACCATAATTATATTTTAGATTTTTTATACTTTAAAATGAGATGTTTATTCTCTATTTGATTATGTTCATTCGTAGTTAGTTACACGAATTCAAACATAGAGCATTATAAGTTGTACTTATGCACAATTTACTTGTAATCTTGAATTTTAAATAATATGCATCAATAAACAATACTTCATGCATAAAAAATGATTTTTAAGAATTTTTGTCAAATGCTTTATAATATAGAATTCTTATTTTTTTTAAAAAAAAGAACAAGTTGTATTTATTAATTTTGTTTAAATTATTCCATTTACTAAATCTTAATATATGATTAAAATAAGATAAAATAAAAAAACTGGGTTGGTGAGGTGGGGCCCAAGAGGTTGACGTGGCCATGTGAGTTGGGCCCCTCTATTTCCATTTGCAAAAAGGAGAGGAGGTCCCCCACCCTGCCTATCTACTATCTACTATCTAGCTGTAAAGAAGCTGTAATGTAATGGATAATATACATCAAAAATGCAAAACCACTTGCTTTCAAACATTTTCACTAAACTACACATTTGGTCCTCATGGTTTGTTGGATATAACATTTTTTATCCATGAGTTTTCGAAATTACAACAAAACGTCCTCAGATTTCTTTTAACGGTACGATTTTGTTCTTTTATTCATTTTTTTATCCAATCAAAAACCACTAAGTATGAAAATATGATCATATTTCCATCCACATCCCCAATAAGAAACATGAATCTCCAACGGAAAATGGGAGTATAATTCTAATATATATATATATATATATATATATATGTCGAAATCTTAAAACCAACTTGTATTGCACTATGTGCTGCTAATTTATACATAAGTACTACACTTTTAAGCATGTTTTTTCAAAAATCTTAGTTATAGCATTTATGCCCAAAGTACAACTTGTTGATTCAGTTGCCCATCGCCCCTTCCAACGTTGATGCTATTGCTGCTCCCAAAAAATCATCGACTCCCAATAAACGATTCGTAGTCAAATGTTGATTCCGGCTCCCAAGGTACCACTCACACTCTGCATGTAATTCTTTTGAGTTATCTCTCATGTATCTTGAAAATCACTAATCAATTGTCCCCATGGCTCGTTTTGGATTTCAAGTTCAACTTCCTTCATCTTCAATATGAGTTGTATGGCTTTCTACTGATAAGAATTGACCTAATTTTTCTCAAGTTAGATTTTTCTTATTCTAATTGGCTAAACTATATATCATTATACATTGATTTTGAGGTGGTTTATTAGATTGCTGAAATTGAAAAAAGATAGATAGTGCTCATGGGTGTTTTTGGGTCCATGGTTCTGATTGTGCCTACGGGTGTTTTTGGTCTATGGTTCCCATTCTTACACTTGGTTTCTTGTAAAAAAATGGATAGTGTATGGCTGGAGGCGTAGGTGGTTTGTCACCACTCGAGGCTTGGGTGGTTTGCATTATATATATATATATATATATATATATGCTATGCTCAGATATTTGTAAACATTTCTTCAACATTTGATTCATATATGAAATATTACTATTTTTGCATAAGAATGCGATGAACATTTACTTTCTTCTTTCACTTTGTTATCTCCTCATATTGCATCGGAGTTTTGGAGACCGAACAAGAAAGTCGAGGATCTTCTCAGTGTGGAGGGGTGACGTCCTTTTGAGTTTTTACTTAGTGTTGTTGGACGCTTGATAGATTTTGTTTACCTTTTGTTCCTTGTGGGTCTTGTTCAAATTTGTCTGTGCTGATTTCTTGTGAGTTCTTTTGTAGAGGCATTATTGACTTGATTATGAGCAACTAAAAGAGTGCTAGAAGAATGTATGTGACAAATTCCATAGTTGACACTCACATCAACATTTAGTTTGTTAAATTGTTTTCCAAACATCAAATCTGAAGTCGTATGAATCGATTACAGTACTGGAGTTCTTGTCACAATGTGATTTAATCTCAATAACTATTCATTGCCTTCGATCACAATCCTTTTAACTCTATGCCAAGTTCTGGAAGACACCATTAAAGATGGCTATATATTCCAGGTTTGTGTTTCTCTTATTTTCTGTCCTAGAAGCATTAATGGTTAAGGAAGTTAAGTTTGTTATCGGTTATGAAATTTGCGTTTCAAGTTTCGATTACCTGATTTTCATTGTGATCTTTGCATTTTTTTTCTATCAAGGGTAGAACATTGCTTGAAATCGCTTTCTTGAAATAAATTTGTTTTGATTTTTATGTTGTTTTTTCTATCAAGGGTAGGATAGGTTCGTTTTTTATATTGTTCGTTGTATTGATTGCTTGAAATGTTTATATTGGAATCGATTTTAATTTGTTTGTGTTTAGTATTAGTTGATTTGGTATTTAGTTGATGGATAGAAACAGGTTCTATTTCTGCTTCTGAAATGATGAAAATAGGTTTCATTTCATACCTCTAAAAGGGTAGAAACAGGTTCCACAAAACCATGGTTACGAGTTAAACCTCAGTTGGTTTGTTGTATCGATTGCTTTCTTGAAATTTTTCTATCTGCATACATTGCTTGAAATTGCTTCTTGAAATCAGTTTGTTTCAGTTTCTCTGATGCTTTTTCCATCAAGGGTAGAACAAGTTCGATTTTATTTGTTGGGTAGAAATAAGTTCTATTTTATGCTTCTAAAAGGGTAGAAACAGGTTCCACAAAACCATGGTTACGAGTTAAACCTCAGTTGGTTTGTTGTATCGATTGCTTTCTTGAAA